AACCCAACGAGGAGTGGCTTAGTTGACTGGGGTGGGCCCTGAGACCTCACTGTTCTATCTCGTCCCTTGGTGGCATCTCCAGTAGAGCCTATGGATTCACAAAGATTGGAAACTCTTACAGGGAAAACTTTGAGGGATAAAAAACAAACCCACTAGATTTACTGACAGCTTACACTGGCAGAAATACACACTTTCTATTCTTTTTTTTTGGGGGGGGTGTTAATATTTATTGACTTGTACTAACTGCCAACAATAAAGCAGTTTTTACCATGCTTGATCTCACTTCATCACTGTTCGTATACATTTCACCAATAATTTCAGGTTTTAGTCAGCCTTGTAAATCTTAGGAAAGAAGTGTTATGTGCCGTTGAATCGGACCCGACTCATAGCAACCCCTCCTTGGGTTTCCAAGGCAGTTATCACTATGGAAGTAAATTGCCCATCTTTCTGCCAAGGAGTGGCTGGTGGGTTTGAACCACCAGCCTCCTGGTTAGCAATCAAGTGCCTTAGGCACTATGCTACCAGAGCTCCTAGGTAAGAAGTAAGAAGCAAAAAAAAAAAAGCTTCATGAATTTGCATGCCATTCTTGAGCAGGGGAGCGGGGGCCATGCTAATCTTGTCTGTAATGTTAACAGTTTTAGTACATGCTCTGCACAAGTCAGCATTATACTTTGTTTTTTTCAGATTGGTATTCAACAATCCATACACATTTAATTTTGTGACATTTTCTGTAGTCCCCACACTGTAACAGCATTCCTACTTCCTCCCTGCATCCACCCCTTCCCTTCATTCTTCATCCCATCTTCTCCGCCTTCCTTGGTCCATCACTGGGCAGATGTTGTCCTCTTGATCTCATATGCTTGATTATTCCAACCAGTGCATACCCTCATGATATTACTGTTCACCTTGTGGCCTACCGTTTGCCTGAAAGTTGAGTCACAGAGGTTAAATTCAGTTTCTAGCTTGAAGGGTGTCTAAGGGTGCAAAAAACAGCAAGGAGGCCACATGTTCTGACCTCCTCTAATCCCACAAGAGGAAGGCAGAATCACCATCAATAGCGCAAGGCCTATTCCTGCCAGGCCAGACATGCTACCTCCCTCAAGCC